ACACCAATATATACAGTAAACTGGTGAAATTTGCAGATGACACCAAGGTGGGTGGTGTAGCAGATACTGAACTAGCGGCTCAGCAGCTACAGCGGGATCTAAATTTAATTAGTGACTGGGCTGACACCTGGCAGATGAAATTTAACATAGACAAATGTAAGGTACTCCATGTAGGGAGCAGAAATATAAAGTACAGGTATTTTATGGGACCTACTGAAATAAAGGTAGCTGATTATGAGAAAGACCTTGGTGTGTATGTTGATGCTTCCATGTCTCATTCTCGCCAGTGCGGGGAAGCAATAAAAAAGGCCAATAGGATGTTGGGGTATATCTCCAGGTGTGTGGAGTTTAAGTCAAGGGAGGTAATGCTAAGATTATACAATTCCTTGGTGAGACCTCACCTAGAATATTGTGTACAGGTTTGGTCACCATATCTTAAAAAGGACATAGCGGCCTTAGAAAAGGTGCAGCGTAGGGCCACAAGAATGATTCCTGGTCTTAGAGGAATGTCATACGAGGAAAGGTTATTTGAGCTAAATCTGTTCAGCCTCAAGCAAAGGAGACTGAGGGGGGACATGATCCAGGTCTATAAGATTCTAACAGGTTTGGATGTTGTTCAACCGAATAGTTACTTCAGCATTAGTTCAAATACAAGAACTCGTGGCCATAGGTGGAAATTAGCGGGAGAACATTTCAAACTGGATTTAAGGAAGCACTTCTTTACACAGCGTGTAGTCAGAGTATGGAATAGTCTTCCTGATAACGTAGTGTAAGCTGAATCCTTGGGTTCCTTTAAATCAGAGCTAGATAAGATTTTAACAACTCTGAGCTATTAGTTAAGTTCTCCCCAAGCGAGCTCGATGGGCCGAATGGCCTCCTCTCGTTTGTATAGTTCTTATGTTCTTATGTTTGTGTACATGTGCACTTCATCTTCAATAGCAGCTGTCTTGTTTACAATCACTGACGGTGAATGGATGCAGTGGAATTATTAATATGTTTAAAACATGTACAGACGCTCTTCTTAAGAATGAGATACGTTCTGAACGGCCATTCGTAATTTGAATTGTTGATGAATGATGGTTCGGACAGGAAACAGGAGCCCAATGAACACAATTTGGACTTACAGTCCTCTTAGTTAGTATGTATGAAAGTTCGTAAGTTGAAAGTTCGTAAGTAGAGGAGCGTCTGTATATGAAAATTACACAGTGTGTATCGTCCCATATATTTTGATACTTAAAGCACCCTTAACTAGACATAACAGTATAATCTAGGTTTTTAGTTATTAGTCCATTAATTCTATGTTTTGTACTTTAAACAGATACATTTATTATTAGTAATGGAGAAGTATTGCAAAGGAATGCAAAACTATTGCAAAAATATTTTCCTACCCAAACCTCTTACTGCAGCTGTTCTGTAGAAAAAAAAAATCACTATCCACAAATATGCATTTTTATTTGTGTTGTATAAAATAATACCCTCAAATTTATGGACTGATCTGAACACGTGAAAAGGGTTTTGCAAATTTCCCATCTATTTTTGGATCACATTACAATTGTGACCTAGCTCCTTTTTATTTGGGGATTTTTGGCCAATTTCTACTGCAGCTGATCTATAGAAAAAATCCATAAATACAAGGTGCAACCATGATGTATATCGTTATCAAGATATGAGATGACTTGTATTGCGATATGAGGTTTTTGTCATATCACTCAGCCATAACTGGTATACAGATTTGCTTGTGCCCTTTACTAAGGACTTTACTAAGGTCCATCCAATGGTGATAAATGCAGCTTAAATTGGTGAGGAGAACTGTGCAGAGTTGCTTTTTACTATAGTACCCTTCTTTATCTACTGTAATAAGTCTGTTTTAATCAGTATAAACAAACAAGAAAAACAATGTGCTGTCAACCAGTTGTGTTGTTCGAAACAACCGAAAAAATGTGTTGATGTGTAAAAGAATTGTGCATCTTATGTCTTTCCCAGTTAATACTTCCAGACTGCTTTCCCTACGCACCCAGACAGGGCAATGTTTTCTGTGTCCATTTTGCTGCTATCAATTCTGGCTCATTACATTATCAATATGCAGACAGGCTTATCTGCACACAAAATTCCACCAGCGTGTGAAGAGGGTCATAGAATAAGAAATAAATGCAGGAAACAAGTAATTAAAATGTTTATAATTTTATCATAATTAGGGCTGCCACTAATGACTATTTTTCTATAGATTAATCTATTGACTATTTTATCGATTAATCTAAATGTTGTTCCAGAAAATCAACTTGACCGTTTAAGTAAATTTTGACAAAAACTCTTAAATAATGTATGTTGATTTTCGGCACTTTACGGGACTGTAGCGCCAGTGTGATTACTATATCCCAGCATGCTCGCTGGCAATTGTATCTCCTGTCTATCTACTGTAAATACATGTTTGTAGATGTAGTTCTGAAACCTGATATATGCATGTATTTGTATGTTTTAACAAATTGGGGAAAATATTTATTCTATCTCTATTCAGAAATCCATTTTTTTGCCTCTATAATCCATTGTTTGCCTCCATAATTTGCGTATCATGCCCCTAATTTGGCAACTCTGGACAGTTGTCCAGCTTTAGGTTTCAGGTCATTTTGCCAGTCAGTGTCACTTCAAGCCCCATCTTATCGTCCACTGGATTATTCATGGCTCTGTTGGCCGCAGCCACTCTTCCTTAAGTCCAGGGTGTGATTATGCATCATGTTGGTGTTGCATTAATTGAGAAGTATTCATCTGCAAACAATGGCTCCTCGCCCTTACCTGCCCTAGATTTAAAGTCTCTCCCTAAACTGCTTTGTGTCAGGGAGGCTTGGAAAACTGGGGGATGAAGTGTAGTGTTCAGAAAAGTACAGACAAAAGTCAGAATGTAGCATATTTTATTTACTTCATTTTTATGAAATGTACACTCACTGACCATTTTATTAGGTGCACCTCTTCAACTGCTTGTTGAAGAAAATATCTAGTCATCAAATCATATGTCGGCAGCACTGTCTGTAAATCATGCAGATACAGGTCAGGAGCTTCAGTTAATGTTCACATCAAACCCCAGAAGGGGGAGGAAAGGTGATTTAACTGACTTTGAATGTGGCATGTTTGGTGGTGCCCTGCTTATTTCAAGATTAACTCTGTACTTTCAGTATCCTACATAAGATAATATAAACTCTGGTTTGTAACTGAAATGTGTTTTCCGGTTTTGTTAAAATTTATATATTCAGTTTTTTTACATCCTTACAGTTATGAAGGGTATGGTGCATCAAGATAACAGCTAGTAAGGTAACCATTAATTCATCTAATAATATAGCTGTTTGGTTATAAAATGAAAAACACATGAGTTGGAGTTGCCAAATTGTAGGTGTGAATGTGAATGGTGTGTGCCTGCAATAGGTTGGCACCCCATCCTAGGTTATTCCCTGCCTTGCACCTGTTGCTTTCGGGATAGGCTCCAAACCCCCACAGTCCTGCATAGAACAAGTGGGTATATAAAATGGATTGATGGATGCTTCTAGTAGAATGTTCTATGCTACATATATTAAATACCCGTAGCTTTGTGCATTTTTGAGATGTTGTATCCAAATGTACATAATTTATTTACAAGCTTTTCATTATTAAATGACAGATTAAATTTCTCCTTATAGTTCTAAGTTAACAGTCTGTGTTAATAGCATTCTTTTCAAGAACCTGTTAATTGTTTTATATGCTCTAATTCATCAATACCTTTACCAAAGAAGACTCTGGGAAAGATATGTTAATATTGTTGGTAACACTTTCTATGAATGTCATGTCTATAAGAATCTATGAACACATTCATAATACGTTATAATTCATTCATAAAGCCTTATAAATAAGTATTTATAAAAATTAACACATTATAGCCATGTTTATTTTTCATTATGAAGCTCTTATTGTAACACTTTCTATGAATGTGATGTTTACAAGAATTTATGAGCACATTCATATTACATTATAATGCATTCATAAAGCATTATAAACACGTTTATAAATACATTGCTCAAAAAAAATGGAACACTTTTTAATCAGAGTATAACATCAAGTCAATTAAACTTCTGGGATATTGACGTGTTCAGTTAAGTAGCAGAGGGGGTTGTTAATCGGTTTCAGCTGCTTTGATGTTAATGAAATTAACAACAGGTGCACTAGAGGGGCAACAATGAGACGACCCCCAAAACAGGAATGGTTTAACAGGTGGAGGCCACTGACATTTTTCCCTCCTCATCTTTTCTGACTGTTTTTTCACTAGTTTTGCATTTGGCTACAGTCAGTGTCACTACTGGTAGCATGAGGTGATACCTGCACCCTACAGAGGTTGCACAGCACAGTCCAACTCCTCCAGGATGGCGCATCAATACATGCCAATTGCCAGAAGGTTTGCTGTGTCTCCCAGAACAGTCTCAAGGGCAAGGAGGTGATTCCAGGAGACAGGCAGTTACTCTAGGAGAGCTGGACAGGGCTATAGAAGGTCCTTAATCTATCAGCAGGACCAGTATCTGCTCCTTTGTGCAAGGAGGAACAGGATGAGTACTGCCAGAACCCTACAAAATGACCTCCAGCAGGCCACTGGTGCGAATGTCTCTGACCAAACAATCAGAAACAGACTTATTGTTATCCACAAAGGCCCAATGTGTATGTAGATTTTTGGGATAGCCTTTAGATCAGCTGTTGAAACCCAAGTGTGAAGACTCTTCAGTCAATCAGTCATCTAATTAGTAATCTAATTATGGAGTTGCAGCTAAAACCAGCATACACAGCAGCTCTTTCTGGGTAAGATTGGCCACCTTGCTGTAATGCTTTATTAATTCTTATACCAGCTATTATGATGGTATCTATAATGAATTGTAGATGACAGGTTTAAATAAAGCGTTACCACATTCTTTTATATGCATTCATAAAAACTGGAAAAGGTATTGCTTTTTTTTTTTTTTATTGTAAAACCGGTATTGTTTTTTCCCTAGGTCTTTCTGGCAACCCTACGGACCTGGAGAAGCGCCACAGCGCATTTGGGAAGAACTTCATTCCGCCCAAGAAACCTAAGACCTTCCTGCAACTTGTATGGGAGGCCCTACAGGATGTCACACTCATTATTCTGGAGATTGCAGCCATCATATCTTTGGGACTTTCCTTCTATCACCCACCAGGGGGCGACAGCGAATGTAAGTTGTTGGGTGGGTGGGGCTTTCCCTGGATGCATGAAAGAAGCCTTTCTTTATTGCTCTAATCTGTGTGTTTTTCTCTTTTTAAGGTAGAGCACAGTCCAAAATTATCTGAATAGCATTAACATTGTGTGATTTTTAATAAGTAGAATTTTGCAATTTCAGGCCGACTATGCTAAATGGTATTACATATATTATTGGTGGTGATAGTTGTGCCTTGTGGTGATATGTTACCTTTCTAGTGTGTGGCCAGGCAGCAGCTGGTGTGGAGGATGAAGGCGAGGCACAGGCTGGCTGGATTGAGGGAGCAGCTATCCTGTTTTCTGTCATTATTGTGGTGCTGGTGACGGCATTCAATGACTGGAGCAAGGAGAAGCAGTTCCGAGGGCTGCAGAGCCGCATTGAGCAGGAGCAGAAATTCACTGTTATCCGGAAGGGCCAGGTCATTCAGATCCCTGTTGCTGAAATAGTGGTGGGAGATATCGCCCAAATCAAATACGGTGAGAAAAGTCATTTGTATATATAACCAGATGGATTATTCTGGGAAGTACACACTTGTATTTTCTTTTATGGCTTCTTTTAACAATTTTCTTTGCATTTTCGTATAGTTTGTATTTCTGAACCCTTTTCTGAACTATAGAAAACACAAAGTGGCTAGTTACATTACAGATAAGATAGATGTCTTCCACTTCATTAAGGAAAATATTGTATGCATTGCAATTTTGAGTAACAGTTTACTTAAAGCACCCATATATAATGCATTATAAATACCTATACAATGTATTATAAGGCTTTCATAAAGTATTATACACATGACTATATTTATTAAAAGGCATAACACATTATAGCTATGTTTGTTATGCATTATGAATGCTTTATGAAGCTCTCATGTGTAATGCACTATAAATACCTTCATAATGTGTTATAATTTCTTATACTGACCATTACAATGCATTATGAAGGATTTCTATAGTGCATTATAGATGAAGGGCATTCATGATGCACAACAAGCAAGTGTTATGCCTTTGTATAAATAGTTATGGATGTGTTTATAATACTTTATGAATGTGTTATTATGCATTATGAAGGTCTCTATAATGCATTATGATGATTGCTTTTAGTGTTACTGAATTTTACAGCATAAATTGCATCTTAGCATAAATTTTGTATATGCACTTGTGAAAATGTAGTAACAGTACAGTGTGTCTGATTTATAATGAACACTCTATCCAATGTAGTCACTACGACAAGAGTGGGTGAGAGGTGGGCTTGTTGGACTAAGCTAAGCTGACCTCATCTGTGTCATCTCAGGTGACCTGTTGCCAGCAGATGGAATCCTGATCCAGGGGAATGACCTTAAGATTGATGAGAGCTCACTAACCGGGGAGTCCGACCAGGTCAAGAAGTCCTTTGAGAAAGATCCCATGCTGCTTTCTGGTGAGAATTTCCCTTCATGCATTACTTGATGAATGATTTTATGTTTTCCAGTGGTCTCGACTTGACAGATATGGTATCTTGCTAATTATTTGTATTGCTTAGTGACTGATGGTCTGTTTCTCTTTCTCTAGGTACTCATGTAATGGAAGGATCTGGAAGGATGGTGGTCAGTGCGGTCGGCCTCAACTCCCAGACCGGAATCATCTTTACACTGTTAGGTGCAGGAGGTGAAGAGGAGGAGAAAAAAGTGAAGAAAGGTATGAAAATCTATCATGAGAAAAGTTCTTTCAGTCTAATCTTCCTGTTTTCAATATGTTCATTTTAACTCTGGGGTACTTTTAAATCAAATGTCATTCATAACCCCATCTACATTTCCCCACTACCACCTCTTCCTGACATTTAGATGCGTGTACTAATGTATAATTGTTATTTTATGTGAAACAATAGAACAAAAAAAAAAAAGTTGTGTGCAGTATTTTTATTATCAACCAACTTTAGTTTGGGCATTTGAGCTGGAATAAATTACAGACTATTGGGGTGCTTTCCTAAGTACATACCAGACATTTTCCAAATTTGTCTTTACCTTCACTTGTCAATGTTTTCTTTGTCGTCTTTTCAACAGTTAATTGCAGTAATTAAATATAAGGGTCCTGTAACTTGTAAGAAACGTTGGAACTGGTGTTAACCAAGCATGTAAATTGAAGCTTCACATTGTTATTAAACAGAGCATACATGTGGAAACTTTTTAAAATCTTTGTATGGGAAACATTTAGTGTACTAGAGCCAAACCAGTTTTGCAAGTTTGCCAGTTTAGCTAATTGGCATTCAGGTTCAGTCATGTGGTATTGATACTATTCTAAATGTATGTTTCAGCAGGGTGGTTTCAGTGTGTTTGACTATATTGGCCAGATCCAGGTGTTTGACAAAGTTAAATCGTTCAGAGATTTTTCCCCCTCAAATTATCTGTTGTATATTTCATTTGTAAATAACTTTTGATTTATTCCTTCTTTTCAGTTTGAATAAGTTGAAGTCCTTAACTCATATTGAGACAGTTTTTATTTGAACTCTTAATGCTATTTACCTTTTCAGCAGTTAATCATGGTGTTCATCAGTTACATTAGCAAAATGGTATTTAACAAATGCATAACAAGCACATTGTTAGTTGCATATCGATCACCTTATGATACAGGTGTATTGGATAATTGCATCTGTTCAAATTATTCCCACATCAGCAAATCATTATTTTTTTAGGAAATTACTATTTAGTTGACCCAAAGTTGTTTTAATAAAGATAAGCATGCATACCAAGGCTAAAGAAACCCAATCATAAATGCAATCCTACTTTCACTGCAGCAGTAAGCCATCAGTACTTGAATGATTTTATTGACACATCCGCTTGTCTGAAGTGATAGCCTTGCAGTCTTTTTCTGTCACATCATGGTTGTGTATGTTCACAAAGAATCTTAACCCAGCTCACTGCCTGGATAGAGCTTACAATCAAGCAGTTCAAAACCTTTTCAATGTAGCCTTCATGTTTTATGTTTTCATCAGAAATGGCATGGTAAAAAATGTATAAAATCAGATTGAATCATGGGGAATTGGTAATACAGAGCGCTTTTAAATGACCTTTAAATCTGTGACTTGGGAATCCTGATAAATGTGGCCTCTGAAACAAATGTGTAAATGTATCAAATATTATATACACACAGTGGGAATGTGTATTTACCTCAAGTAAACCTATTTTGGCACATTACAAAACCTTTGTTGTTTCCATGAAGTTCATTTATGCAGCTAATATTTAGATAAATTTCAGTTTATACCAACCAACTTTAGTTTGGGCATTTGAGCTGGAATAAAATACAGACTATCGGGGTGTGCATGCAACATAGTTCAAGGTAATCTCCCCCAAAAAAGAAAAGCAGGTTACTTCAGTTTCATTGAAGCTTTTCATATTTTTAAATTGTGAAAGTAGAATAGAAGGTAGGAAGCTGCTTTTCAGTAATAAGTGTGCTGCATCTTCGACTATTTCCATTTTACAGGTTTTCAGAAATCTTAATTTCTCTCTGATAGGACAGCTCCTATCAGTTTTATTTGTGACTTTTATCGGTTCATTATATTGGTTCAGTATTATTTTCAGTTTTTTTTTTCTTTCAACCCATGTGATCAGCAGTCCACCCTCTTTCTGTGTTTAAACAGGTAAAAAACAAGCGGCTCCAGAAAATCGCAACAAAGGTAACCCGCCCTCAGACCCTCCCCTGCACATCCAGCAGCAGTCTCGGAGTCCCATCTCAGTATTTCAGTCTTGTTATGGCTCTTTCTCTCACACTCTTACGCTGTCGCTTTTCTCTCCCACCAAGCCTGGAGGAGGTTCTCACCTAGCTTTATATGTAAAAGGGTGCAATTCTCACCTGCAGAAAAACATTGCTGTACTTCATGAAGGCTCATGAGTTCAGTTCATCCAGTAATGTTCTGATGTTGCTATGACATGATTATTTTTCTTTTGAGGAAAAAGACAAATTGTTACCATGGAAGCAGTAAAGTTTTAGGGCTCATGGTTTGTTTATTACAAAATTATTGATATTTTTTCAATGGATTTTAATGTTTAACATTTAGCAGGTTCTCAAAAGGAATTGTCATACTGTGGGACATGAGCTATGAAACCATCTACTTTGCAAGGGTTTTTTTTTATCATACTGATGTTCTAATCCTGTTTTTGTAATACTATAAATGCTTTATCAAATCTATGTAAAATGGAAAAAGCCATTGTTGACAATTTGCATCTGATAAATGCTATATAATAAAATTTCCAGTAAGGGCCAGGCAGATACGGATGGATTGAGAGTTGCACCCTTGCTTACTGATTGGCTGTGGATCGGTTTGCTCTTCTCACTGTTCTCGCCTCCTTCCAGGATATGCTCAGGACCTCATGCTGTCTTGTAACTTTATCTCACGTCACTGTTTAACTCTCTGCATTGCTCTCAATCGTCTAGAGAGCTTTCAGCTTCTTGTTGTTTTATAATTGATTTTTTTTTCCCCCTTGCTTTTTTTTGTGACACATTCGCCCCCTGTGCGTCTGTCGTGGCATCAGCCAGTCAGTTCGTTAGTCCCGTGTGTGGTTGTTTGGTCAGTCTAGTCGGTTTTGTGTTGTGCCAAGTCAGCTCAGATGCGATGACTCTTGCCCTTCAATTTGTGCTTTAGAGGCTTCATTTAGGAAACCAAATATTCCAGTTCCATGGTCAAGTTCATAGGGCAGGAGCAGCAGAAAAGCAGTAAAATGCTTTATAGGATTTTATTCTGTACCAGGGTTTTTTTTTCATTGAAGTTGCACAGCTGCACTTTAAATATGAAATATTGTATCTTGTTAGGATGCCATATCTGAATTTTCAACTTTCTATTTAGAATCAGGGCTCAGTACCTTTGGCTTTGTTTATTCCTTAAATGAGATTAATAAAGATGAAAAATATTCAGATATGATTGAATTATATGATTTTAAACACAACAGTTTTGACAGAGTTAAAGCTAACTGTATATTTGCAAATGAACCAGCGAAGAACCTACATTCTGCTCTTCAGTGAGACAAAAGGTGTTCTTTCTGCTTATCCCGGGGTACGCTATGGCAACCCACTCTTGTTATTGTCAAGATGTTTCTTTCCAGGACTAAAGTCTTGAAAGGGTGACATTTCTATTCTCTGATGCTTGTACAAAACATTGATGGGCTTTATTAAAGTGCTGTCTGTAATTTGAAAGTAAAAATGTAATTTCTGCATTAAATCTACTGCTTTTTCTCTTTAGGCTATTCTAGAGCTTCAGCGCTCCTGCAGATTCAACTAAACGTGTATTTTATTTGTACCTATAAATCATTTAAACCAAAATAAAGAACATTTTTATTTGTGCTTCTTTTTAGATTAAATAGAACTTAAATAACCAAATGTTTTATGATTTGTAAGAAAGTAATGGTGCATTTAAATTGCTTAAGTGAGACTGGGGACAAATTAATATTTTGGACACTAGTTTTTATACTGGGTTGCTGAAAGTGGTGGTATTTGGATTTGGTAAATTAGAGAAAGTGCTTTCTCATGCTGCTTCGGCCTAACAGTGTTATGCGGTGGCATAGTGAATGGGGAATTGCAGTTCGAGGGGCCTGTTCATACCTCCCGACTGTAGTCAGTATGTCTGGTCCTTGCTCACTTTAACACAGAATTTTGCCCCTCAAATCCCTTTGTTCCCCACATCCCTTTGCCTGTTTCTCTATCCCTGTTTTGATATGCCGCCTCCTTTCCTGCTTCCCCCTAAAAACACCTTACTGACAGCTAAGACCCAAGATGGGATTGCCCTTGAAATCCAGCCACTGAAGAGTGAGGAGGGAGCTGAGTCTGAGGACAAGGAGGAGAAAGAAGAGAAGGAGACCCGGAAAGTCAATGTGACCAAGAAAGAGAAGTCGGTGCTGCAGGGCAAGCTCACCAGGCTGGCTGTGCAGATTGGCAAGGCTGGTGGGTGAATCTGACCTGGGTTTTGAAATGCACTTCAATTTTAGCAATGGCACTGGTTTAATTACAAATTTAATTTCATTTAATTTAAATTTAATTACATTGTTAAAAATAATTGTACAAAAATAAAGCAATGTATAGAGCTGAGTCCAATATGATGAATTTGAAGCAGACAGGCATATAGTTGGAATGAAAGTTATATAGTGACAAATTTAGTTCATGAACATCTCAATGAGACATTTGCAAAGCAATACGTTCTTCCGTGCTCATTTTTTCAGGTCTGATCATGTCTGCTGTAACAGTGATCATCCTCATCCTGTACTTTGTTATCGACACTTTCGGCGTCCAGGGACGCCCCTGGTTGAAGGAATGTACACCCATTTACATTCAGTACTTTGTGAAGTTCTTCATCATTGGCGTGACAGTGTTGGTTGTGGCTGTTCCTGAGGGATTGCCTCTTGCGGTCACCATCTCCCTGGCGTACTCTGTAAAGGTGAGGACCAGGATATCTACTAGTGGTATAGCTGTGCATGATCCATTTCTTGAGTGTAGGGTAACGTCTATTCCACCATGTCCTTGAGTTGGAAACTTCTCTAGGGTGGTTCACCCCCTGCCTGTGATTTTAGAAAATGATGAAGGACAACAACCTTGTCCGGCATCTGGATGCCTGTGAGACCATGGGAAATGCGACAGCCATCTGCTCTGACAAGACGGGTACTCTGACCATGAACCGCATGACGGTGGTGCAGGCTTATATCGGTGACACACACTACCGCACTGTGCCCGAGCCAGAAGTACTGCGACCAGAGACACTGGAGCTGATGGTTAACAGCATTTCCATCAACTCTGCATACACAACCAAGATTCTGGTAAGCAACATCCTGGTGGTCATTCTCAGAATATAAAACTGCCTTGCAGTCAGTGTGCAAGACGTTTGCAGGATGCTGTTGCATAAAAAATATATAAATAAACAAGCGCCCACATATTGTGAGCTAACACAAACTAATCCGTGGTGGAATGGAGTGGTGAGTCATCTGTGTGGGATAGAGGTGAGCTGCTGTGCGACTCAGGAGTGCTAACCAGAAGGTGCTGGGGTAAAAATCCCTGGAAACCATTCGTTTTAAGCAAGGTCACATATTGATCTTTCGTGTTGCATCCCACGCACCTCCTACGCTACAGAAAGTACTTGTAGAATTCGTCTTTGTATGAATATAAATCAGTTGATGGAGTTAAAGAATTTGGGCACTCGTCAGCACTGAATGTATGGACATTGAAATAAACATGTACAAGCTCTGGTTAGTAACACAAATTTGCAATTTGGAATTTCAGTACATGTTTTAGTCCCATTTAGCAGAGATTTATACCACACAACAGTGTCAAACAATTGATTTACTTCCTTAATTTTAGCAGCTGTTAATGCTTATCCCTTTTCGGTATAATGTAGTATAACTTTTTCTGGCATTTACTGTAACCATGTTTTTCTACATTATGTGAAAAATATTATCTAAGAAAAAAGTGAAAAAAACTTCTTAAAGCTTTTTATAACCACAGATCAGTTGAAATATATTACCTTTCAGTCATTTATCCATTGTAGGCTTGTGGGAGAAACACAAGGCACCTTGTACAGGATGCCAGTGTATTGCAAGGTTGCAGGGCATCCATACATTCACACACACGCACACATACCCACTCGCACTCATAATCTCATTATGGGCAATTTAAAGATGCCTACACACAATGTCACCTGTTTATGTAAACATACAAATTTTAAGATTTATCAAATACATCAAAACACTCCTATCATCTTCATCTGAAATTTTGATCTAGCCCCCAGAAAGGGAAGGGGGACTGCCTCGCCATGTGGGAAACAAGACTGAATGCTCACTGCTTGGTCTAGTGCTTGATCTGAAGCGAGATTATCAGCCGATCCGCGATGAGGTGCCAGAAGAGAAACTCTACAAGGTTTACACCTTTAACTCTTCACGGAAGAGCATGAGCACAGTGCTGAAAAACCCAGATGGTACAGGCTACCGCATGTATAGCAAGGGTGCCTCCGAGATAATCCTTCGCAAGTACGCATTTTTTCCTTCTATCATGTCATCATGTTTTGTTTTATTTCTTCTTATTGTTATTCTTATTTGCATGTTCTTGGTTTTTGTCCAAAATGACATAACTGAGAAGATCAGGGTCAGCCAGTCCATGGAACAATAGGGGTTAAGGGCCTTGTTCAAGTACCCAACAATAAAATCATGCTGCCAGCTATGGGATTATCACATTATCACACTAGAGGCAAAGCTGATTTGTATTTATGTATTTTTACTCAGCAACAGTCTGAAATACTTGGTGATTTGACTTTTAGAGAAACCATGAGGAGAGTGGCTGAGGACTGATTTAAGAGAAAAGTATGTCTCTGTCCATGAGAACAGTGGCCAGAGATTTCCAACTCTGTGTAAAACTCCATGAGTTCTTCCCTACCCCCACAGAAATAAATATGTTTTCATGTCAGCATTGTGACAATACTCTTGTTTGTGTTCTTCCTTCACTCTCCCTGGATCCACTTTCCAGGTGTTCCCGCATCTTGGATGCCTCTGGCCAGCCTAGGGTGTTTAAGCCAAAGGACCGTGATGAGATGGTGCGAAAAGTGATAGAGCCCATGGCTTGTGATGGCCTGCGAACTATCTGCTTGGCCATGCGGGACTTTCCCGGCGATACTGAACCCAATTGGGACAATGAGAATGAGATTCTGTCTGACCTGACCTGTATTGCAGTGGTGGGCATTGAGGACCCTGTACGGCCAGAGGTAAGATACAAAACCTTGTGTAAATGAGAATAACCAAACTGGTCTAGACAGTGACATAGGTTTCCAAACACAATGACAAATTGTTCATATAATTATGTAGTTTCCTTTTATTTACTTCTGAATGTGAAAGAACGCATGTACGTGAGGACAGGTTTATATAGATGGTATTTCTGAACCGCTTCTTTGTTGTGAATAGGACAGTTAAAGTTGTGTGTTTTGCTATTTTTATACTGTACCCCTTAGCATGAATCTGGCCGTGTTAGGTCTGAGCAATATAACAATATTATCCATAATCGGTAATATCAAACAAGTTACCCAGCATCAATATCTAACTAACCAGCAATTATCACCTTTGTTGGTAAATTTGGCTTAGGCTATACCTAGCAAGGTAGAGATTTTTTGCCTAGGTTTCCAATGAGGTTTTTTTAAATGCCGATTTGACAAGTCTTGCCTATTGCGGTAATATTTTGTTCACCATTCTTGTAAGTTGGGAAGTTCGACATTGTCACATCATCAACTTCTGTCTTCCAGTCAGCAGCCAGAATGTTAGCAGTTCCAGTGGAAATTCCTGGTGGTAATTTTGAACTTACCAACTTATGTGGATGATCTACCAAGACACGACCTTACCACTGTTAGTTCTCTTTCATGATAAGAAAATTATCAGGATAGCATTGATAGCCCAACTACAAATTCCTTCTTCCCGGCTACTTTCATTTATGGGAGGGAGTGATCTTCACAGACTATAGCTAAAAGTTGAGCTAAAAAAATAACCATTAACAATTTTAGATGAACTAGGGTAAGCTATTAATTAGTTTTAAAAGCATGTCTGTTGCAGTGTGCAGACCATCCTATATGGAAAAATAAAATGCATTGTCCTGTGCTTATCCATGAAAATGTGCAATTTGTCTTAGACATTTCTATGGAGCCCCTAAGAGGGAGGAGGAGAAAAAAAATTAATGGGAAGAGAAAAAAAAAAATACAATAAAAAAACAATGAGTTCTTTTGCCAGATTATTTGTGATTTGTGCCACAGTAGCCCTTCTGTTGATATGTACCAGAAGGGATAGCCTTTGTTCATACCTCATATCTTGTCTTACATCTCATGTCTTGGCTGCCTAAAACCCTGTTGGCAGTTTGTAGTTTTTCTTCCTCTTTGGACCACTCTTAGAGGGTGCAAGCCTTGGCATTTGGGAGATGCTCTGACCCGGTCATCTGGCCATAATAATGTGACCCTTATCGAAGTCACTCAGGTCTTTACCCCTGCCTATTTCTTTTGCATTAAGCACATTGCCTTTTAATTCTGGGTGTTAGGTGTCCATTTAATATATTGCACAATTGGACACCTGCTGTTTTAACAAGATAGCCTGCATTATTTGTTTCACATGGGAGGTGGTCATTATGTTTTGGCTCATCGAAGGTATAATTCAGTGCTGGTGTTTACAACAAAAAATGATGAAAAGGTATTGTTCGCCATGCTTATTATGAACAGCACTTCCACTTTGACTATGTTAAGATACCATTTAAAGAAGATATGTACCCAGCACAGTTGATGAGGATTGCCCAGAGCCGAGCTTTTTGGAAATATTTAATATTCATATGGTTACAAGTGGGGAAAAAAATTAGCCATAAAATCTCTACATTGTGTAATATTCTGTGGACCTTCTCAATATTATTGTGATTGGAGGAGGTGTCCACCCTGTCCTGTCTGTAGTGTGTTGGGAGATTTTTAATTGTGTATAAATAAATTAGTTGATTGGGTTTGAAGAGGGATGGGGAGTAATTCATCATCAAGCCAAATGTGGGTAAATACTGCAGTCAAGCCCCCCCCCCCCCTCTTTACCTAACCTCCTCTGCATTAAGACCCCCTGACTAGACTGAAAAGTCACTTTGGGCTACAGCTTACTGAGCAAAGAGGAAGGCATAGTATCATGCTGAGGAAGACTAAAATAACCTAAGCAGACTGAGATTTAATGTCACTTTTCATCTCAGCAGTCTCTAGTCAGGATTACAAGGAAGTGCTGAAGGGATGTGTTATTTTTTGGAGGATTTTCAGATTATCATAATTTATTGATCATGAAGAAAAAAATCCCCCAACACACTTAAATTTTATGAATGAAGGTCACTTGTTTAAAGCTCGTTTCATTGATTTTTCTCACTGCAAATATGCATTGTAACAGTGGAAATAGAATAATGTCATTTTAATACTGCAGTATTTATCTAACTGAATCTCTTGGTACCACGATTTGGTAAGCATGGATTTGTTTAGAGGTTTTCAATCCATGTTCAACTATCTTCCAACTGCTTATACAGCATCATGTTGTCAGTCTGCGGCCAATCCAGTACAATCATTGCTCCTTTAAATGAGTTTGCCTTGGTGTTTATATGATAGAGCATATAATTTTATTTTTAATATTTTAATTCATTAATTTTCCAGCATGTGGGTTATCAGACTCATATGTGTCATTCTAGGTCCCTGAAGCTATTTCTAAGTGCCAGAGGGCTGGGATCACTGTGCGCATGGTAACTGGGGACAACATCAACACGGCCCGTGCCATTGCCACCAAGTGTGGCATTCTGCAACCTGGAGAGGATTTCCTGTGCCTGGAAGGCAAAGAGTTCAACCAACAAATTCGCAATGATAAAGGAGAGGTAAGAAAGAGGGAAACTAGAATTTTACATTATTTTATACATTAATATTTTTGCATTTACTCAGTCTGTTTTCAAATTCATTGTCTTAAGTGTATTTAACAAATAAAATCATTATTATCAATTGGTTGGTACAGAGTTGCTTCCAAGAGGCATATGTAATGTTTATTTTATTAGAATTAGGTGATCAGTGATCATACACCAACGAAATGTGTCCTCTGCATAACCCATATGTGACATAGCAGGGGGCAGCTAATTCAGCATCTGGAGAGCAGTGCTTGGGGGCGGTATCTTGCTCAGGGTACCTCAGTGGTGCCTTGCTGGTCAGGGATCTAAACCAGCAATCTTTCAATTACAAGTGTGCTTACCTGACCATTAGCCCACCACTGGCCACATTTTTTCTTTCTTTCTTATAAAGAATACAGTGGTACCTCAGTTCTCGAACTCACTAGAACTAGAATTTCTTGAGTCGAACAAACCAGTTTGACCTAGAACTCGATCTGAATATCAGAAGTCGAACCATGAACGATGACCTAATATAAATTGTACGCGCCAGGAAATGAGTCATACTACAATTAGGGCTGAAGGATTTATCGATTTCAAATCGAAATTGCGATTTGAAACAACGCGATTAGCAAATGGCAATGGCTGCGATTTAGGACTTACATTATACATCACGTCGGACCCAGGGTTTAAAACTGTTGTAAGAATAGTTTTCTAAACTCATACCATGCTTCCTATATGACAGTCGTTCTCACCAATCACAAGCGCCGTGCTCCTTATGTGACAGTCATGCTCACCAATCAGAAGTGGCCCGAGGCGACGGAATACACGCCCACAAACAGCAAACACGTGAAGAAAATGTTGCATTCGCGGTGCGGAAAAAATACTGATTCCGCGACTGAGCTATAAGTGAATTGCCTTCCTATTTCATGGTCCGAGATTGTTTCAGAAAGGTCCTATCATCAATAGAACCGGCGA